TGMKASRSCRMCMMCYKMGATCTRCACAGTGTCTAGCAATTTAGCAAGCTAGTAAAGGTTGAGGCCTCGCTAATTTGAGATACGTTCCATCATTCAGTCAGCACTACGATATTGGAAGCACCTTCGGGCACATACCGGGCAATTTTCCCTCCCTGCAATCGATCTTGACCCCAGACTGACAAGGAAGTAATCGCATGCGACGTTGTTCAGGGCCTTCAGGCGGTCGCGGTGTGACGATAGGACCCGGTCGGAAGATGCAGACGGTCACCCTGAAGCATACCTTGCACGCCCTGGTCAGATCATGGCTGGTACTCACCGTCTCATCGATCGAATGATATTGTTCAGCCAATCATACAAGACTGCAGTCTGTGCTGCTATTCYTGATGAGCTGGCCTGTAGGGGTTGAATGATCCCATACGTTGTCCATTATCTGCTGTGGATGTGGCTGCAGTGTCGGGGGTGTGAAAGCGTTCACCCTGATACAGATTGTCACCACATGGAGTAAGTTCATGAGAGGGGACAGTCGACCGCCGGCACGACGGTACATCAACTCCGGAAGGTGAGTGGAGCGAATATAGACGCCGGTAGACTCGTGGCTGTTGTACAGCGTTTGCGCGCAATGGAGACGAATTCCCCGAGAGAGCCAAGATTTACCAGGGCAATGCCGCGATGGCGGTGCTCAAAGGTTCAGGACGCAGGGGATGCAGGGGAGGTGAATGCCGCAAGAACGTGGACTTGTGTCTCCGGGGAAAGTCAAGTTTGCAAGTATAAACTGTGTTCGACAACAACATTGCCGCTGGAGCGATTGCAAGCTATTGATGCAGGCAGTCGATCAAACAGTAGTTCTGTGCCCATTATTGCACAGCTTTACAAACGTAGCCCCTGATGGCTGTGCAGAGGTCTGTTGCACTTGTCGTAGATGCCGATTGGCTGCCGGCTCAATAATAATGTCGATGGGGAATCAGAGTCAACGTGTCGCTCCTCATCGATTGATGCCAGACGAAAATCGCAAATGCGGAGGCCCGACTGCAAGGGTGTATGCTGAGAACGACATCCTTGTTTGTGGAAGTGCATAGTGCCGACGATCTTCACCTCGCTTCGTCAACGTCAGGTGTGCTCCGAGGAAGACTTTCGGGGTTCAGAATGCTGGCGCGGATGAGATTTCGTGCATGAGCCCGTCCTTGACCGCGATCCTCCTCGCGAGGAGCAGCGCATCATCATGGAGCTTGATGAACCCTTTGGCGAGCTGGCAATGGAAGGTCTTCCCAACGGCCAGGAGATGCCTCCGGGGAGCGTTCACGAGTAGAGTTTGCGTCGTCAGGCAGATCCGGCGGACAACCTAATTGCGAAGAATTACTCGCAATTAAGCCCTCCTGGGCGTAACTCTGTTTGGTGAACCCCTTGGAGTGAGGCTTCCAGCATACGAACCTTCCCTTATCCGATCTGAAACGAGGCTTTGAGTCGAGATGTTTGTTTTGTAGTAAGCTTCGAATAAACGTGCCGCAGCGCAAACTCMAATGGACGTCACTGTTGATGCTCATCAATACCCGGCACAATCGAGTGTGTCCATGGAGGACGAAAGACAACGCCTACATTATATGCGAACCATGAATCGCATCGCACCTCGGCCAATGACTTAGATTGCGTCAGTCATTGTCTCAGTGGTGAGGGCGGGGCTGTTCCGCTGTCGTTACATCTCGAAATCGACCTTTACCATGCCACGCCCATACGCGTCTCTATTGCCGTATCGCAAGCTGCATCCATCTGATGCCGGTCAACATAGCGCTTCGTGCTGCTCAGGGCAACCATATATTTTGAGGAAAAAGGCATGTCAATAGAATGGTGAGAAAAGCGTCCTACCATAATGACTCTGAGCACTGGCGCTGGCGTCAGCAGGCTGTCTTTGTTGAACTTCCTACAATCCGATGTACCGCATTTGCCATCYGAAAGATGGATCATCAGACCATCAAATTACAAGGACAGCAGCGGCCGGGAACTTGCCAGGCGATCGCTGTCCAGGCCGCGGACATCACGATTCGCGCAAAGACGTGGTGTGCGTTCACGTACGGTCGAGACCCAGCTCTCGGGATGTTGCGCTCGTCACACTGGTTCACCAGCCGCATTCGTGGCTTCTGTTGGAGCTAGGCAGTAGTAGCTGAGGTGCTACCGAATCGCGGCTCTTGCGGACATCGCTGTGCCCCACTTCAGCTAGTCAGCATCGCAACAAGATACGTGGAGGGTGGAGGTAGGAGGGTTGACGATGATGGCTGCAGCTTATGGAAGGTACTCATGTACAACGAATATCGCTTTAGAAGTACTCCAAAGTTCATCCGCATGGCTTGAACTGCGCATGTATGATCATGCCTAGTCGAAGATCAAGGCCACAGGTGGTGCTTCGCAGTTGAGAACATCGGCAAATGCCGCTGGGGGCACTTTCAGGGATCAGCACCGTGAAGTGGGAGCTCGGCTGACCGTACGACTCGCAGCTGAACGACTGTTTTCCGCGAATCGCCGCTGTTGAGAAAAGACTGCTCGCAAGGTGACATGATGTCCTGTTCTGTGTAGGGTACGGCTTTACCACTGTCGGTAGCTATCTTTGAGTTTGCGCCGTTCAAGGAACAACCGCGTTACGAAGAGGCAGTACCAGCATGAGTGCAGAGCCAATCTGGACAAGGAAACTCAACCGGGTAGTAGCTTTCCTGGTCGGTGGCTTGCTGGCCGGGCCATGACAGGGACTGGCATACAGCCAACTCGACCTTGACCGTCCTGACCTAGTCACGAAATTGTGGGTAACGCTGCTCGTCAGTTCCTGCCCAGGGAGCTCGATGCCCTCGAGTCCTKACACCGGCGACCAGACGGCCGCGCTAGGAAAAGGGTGCCGCTCGCCCTTTGAGTGGCTGATGATGGCTGCAGAGCCCGCACGGCGCAGACGTAATGACAATAATGCCGAGTAGGAGAGCTGCACGAGAGGATTTGGTGAGCGCAAGCTCGAAGGAGGTATTTGAGATGGATCCCTGCGACCCATGATCGACGGGCCAAGACGGAGGGTAGTAGTTCGTTCCATCCATCCAGCAGTCTGGCAGTCTGGGGGAATGGAGTCACCGTTTGAAGGGTGAGCAAAGCGTCTGGTCTCGCATGGTCATCATCATCAAGTCGTCGGCAGCCGGCGACTTGTGGATGTTAATCTACAGCAAACCTAACTCTCGTTTGACCTCAGATCTGGGTGGGAGAAGGTTGCGACCATGTCGGACGTCCCACGAGGAGCAGGCAGACATGGCATGTGCCGCTCGCTGGTGAATGCCCTCACACACCACACGCTTCWTCGATCGAGCGGCTGCAGCAATAATGTGAGCATGCATCCTGCAAACCCGGAGTCCGCGCTATTGGCGGTGTGGCCCGTCCGAGCTATGGACAACTCCGCGGTCTGCGACTGGCACCGCTGGGATTCGTGTCCTGATTTCCTGAACAACGGCTCGAGCCTTCCGGATCGGCAAATGGACCGCGGAGGTGCACTCGCGCTGCAGTGGCACGATCGGATTCGCTACGTGCGTCTGCTCCAACTCCTTCGGGCGTCGACGCATTATTTGTTGGCGGTCGCGGTGGATCTCGTCTTCGTAACAACTGAACCTCTCATCCCTGTGTGCCGCGGTCTGTGCGCTTGCCCATCGCCCCCTCTCTAGTACCAATCGAGCGGGCAATGAGGGAGATGTCATCACACCCGCTCTACTGTACCTTGCTGCTCCACTGGTACCAAGAACCCAGGCCGTGGATGACCGGTGCGCAACGGGCGGTCGAGCCATCGTAAACGCTTGCCAGTTTACCGGCGGCAGCCCAACTCTTGCTAGTCATCCACTCGCGATACAAGTGTACATAGTTCTCCCAACCCGGCCGTTGCTCTCAACTCTATATCTGAACTCAGATCCTCTTATGCTTAATCTGCGCACGAGAAGAAAAATCAGGCACCACGTACTGCTCTCCCAGACCAAAGTTGGCCCTTTTTGTTCCGGTTGAAATCTCTCCCCCCCCACAACTCACCTTACACTTGCCAACTCCATACTTTCTTCCACCTCACACACTCGCCGCGACTCGCCAGTCACTCGCAAATCACCAATCATCACCGTTCGCGGCCGCCGCTTGACCGTTGACTGCTGATCATTGAGCATCTTCACCCGCGCCACGCTGCTAGTTGCAGGATTGCCTGCGCCGCAGCTGCAAATCTGCCTCGCCGTCACAGACGCTACCGCGCCCGCCTTTTTCAATAATTAAATTTGCCCACGCAAACCTTGCGCGGCGAGGATCCAGAAGCTTTTGATCTTCCGTGCGCCATCAACCTTGAGCGTCTCTCTCTTAGCCTTTCGCTTTCGTCAGGAACAACACATCAACCTCCTGCCTCCATTGCCCTACGCTAGCTACACGCCGACAACATCCACAGCGACTGACATACTTCGCGTCGCACCTGCGCTCGCGACCGCTTACGGTTTGTTACTCACCACCCCCCAGTCAACTCGAGCGTTACATGTGCTGACGCGCCGGCCAGAGCGATACGCGCGCTTCACTGTCAGAGCATCTTCACTGGTAGCTTTCCAACACCCAATCGCATCCGCGCGTCCCGCCGGGTTGAGGACATTGATCTTCATATTCTGCCATCTCACCCTCTAGCCGCCATTTGTTAGACGCGCTTCATCATGAGCGGCGGAGCTGGACCTCTGGTCCCCACCTTCCATGGCTTCGTCCACAACAGTATGGATGGACTCTGCCTATTCGAAGCATGCCTCAGCGGAAAGCTCAATCACGTTCCCCGTCGCCCCCATGATCGGKAGCGTAGCTCGCTGATTAAAAGCGGGAGCATCTTCATCTACGAGGAGAACGCGTCAGGCATCAAGCGATGGACTGATGGCGTCGCCTGGAGCCCCAGTCGTATCCTCGGCAACTTTCTCATCTATCGTGAGCTTGAGAAGCCATTTCCACCCGGCGAGAAGAAGCGAGCGATGAAGCGTAAGCGAACAAGTCTCCCCGGAGAGCCGTATCTGCGCCGGGAGTCCGAAGACGTCGAAGCACAGGAGCTGCCCACCCCAATCACACCACCAACACCTGTTGGCGGCGAAGTCAAATCAGAGGTACCAAGTTCTGATCAAGACAAAGAACTGGAGCGTTCCCTCATAGGATCTTTGGTCGACAGCTATGGCTTCCGCCCGGATGGTCTCGTGAAGAAGACGATGAGCGTCTCAATCAACGGCATCTCCCACCACATGGTGTCGTACTACAAAGTTGACGATGTCAAGCACAATCTCCTCCCCCGGCCTCTGACCGATCCCCGACTTCAAAACATCTCCGTCCGACCTGAGCTGTACATGAAGCAGAATTTCCGCGCGCCAGTGGAGGAGACGGAGCACTTCGCCGTTGATGGCCAGATGCACGCCCATCCTCAAATGATGTACTCTCCCATGGGCAATGCCTACGGCGTTCCACCACATGGTCAGCAGTACTTTCGCGGCCAACAATATCCCGGCATGCCGTACATGCCCACACCGCAAACCACCGGGAGCAGCATGTACGCTGCGATGACCGGAGCATCGTGGTCCGGCCAGCAAGCCTCCGCTGGCCCTGCGCCATATGGTCACCAGCCGTACGGCGGTCAGAGCTACGGAAGTTACTACAAGCAACCAGAGCAGTCGAACGGATCGGCTGTCAAGGCCGAGAGTCAGCAGGCGTCACCCTACCCAAACCAGTACGCTTCATCATATGGCGGAATGCCCCAACGGAATGGTTCGCAATCCACGCCGTCGATGATGCAACCGCCCTCATACCAGACTCCCCAAACACAAGCTCCGTCTACTTTCGCCCAAATGACATCCGGAGGTCAGCGGTCGGCGTACGGGGGTATCGACAGTCCATCGACAAACGTACAGCAGCAGCAATCTGTTTACGGAAATCCATCGGCCCAGCCTTATGCGGTGCGATCTCCGCCAACGCAAAATTACGGGCTCCAGAGCGCACCGCAGAACGCTGTCGGTCAGTCACCCCACCCGGGCGCAAAGAGTCCACAGTCGGCGCACGCAGGCACGCCCTCCCAGGCAGATACCAGCGCTCAGATGCACAAMAGCGGCATGTCTTACCGTTCGAGTCATCCCAGCAGCGAAATGAACAGTGGCTTGGGAATCAGCAACAGTACGTCAAGCTACTCAGCACCACAAAACGGGCACCCCTACAGCTACGGCTCCTCGAATCAACCTCAGACCGCCGGATCATATCCATCATAGGTTCTGTGGCGATCCGGCAGCCCTGGTGCCAACAAAATTGCCATACAACTTGCCATATCAGGCAAGAAAAAGCTCGAGGGGTCGGCGAGCGGGAAGGAGTGCACGCAATCAAACAGACTGCCAGACACTGGAGTGGATTGAGTGAATTGAGTGGATTGAGTGGATCGATTGCTCCGATGAGATGGGAAAGGGATGGTGGAATGGTTGCAAACGCGACCTGATGAATGCACGATCAATAACATTGTGTAATATGCCTTCACATAGAAGTCACAATTCCTTTCTAGACACAATCATTATTATGCTTCGGCCAAGCAACTTGAGCATTATTTGACGATACTGTGCAACACCATATCCCAACAGTAGTGTCATGTTCTAATCCACAGTCGACGCTGATCAGTTGAAGGTGCCTTCCAGCGTGTTGCTACTGGAGTTTAACCTGCCTTCATGCTGCCGGACATCACGCGGTGAGATGATCACCAACTTGGCCGCGTATGCACAGTCTACTAGTGACCATGGAGCTTTTGGGTGTGGCGCGTTTTCCGTGATGTGCGCGAAATCAGAAGTATGATTCAACAATCCCGGCAGAGATGCTTTCGCTTAGTTGCAGCCGGAACTTTGGAGATTTGCTTGATGAACCGAAACCCTCGCGAGACTCGGATCTAAGAAACGCTGTGTAACCTGCAGACTTCAGCTTCCCTGCTGTCGATCGGAGGAGGGGAGCGTGTCAGTGCTGTCCTCTCTTCTCGGATCTTTAACACCGCAAGAGTCGGGAAGATTTATCGGAGGCAGTTGCTGCCGCTGCGTGCATTAGAAAAATCCCATCGGTTGAGGGGCTCTTCTTTAGCTTGCTAGGCGCAGAGTGCACACGAGTCAAAGCGGCGATTCTTTGCGGTATATGCATGTGCTGCAGATGTGCGCTGCGTCATCCACCTCCAAAATCTTGAATCTTGGCGTCAGGATTAGCGTCGGCGTCGGCATTCCTGGAACGAACGAACGAACGTCAGTCAGTACAACAAAACATGTGACAAAGTTTACTTTGTCCATCACATTTAGCCATGACTGGAGCATTGTTGGTGCAGCTGCACACATCGCTGCCACATGCATTCCAGCGAGCGGCGGTCAGTCGGGGCTACTCTCACGCCCTTCTCCATCCTCTTCGACATTGTTGTCAGGGGCGAGCTTTCCGCTCCATCCAAAGCCCCTGCCTGCGTATAACCTCACCGCGGCCCAGCGCATCTTGGTAATGAGCATAGCGCCATTTATATACACATCTCGTAGATTGCGATTGTCTGACAAGTCATGCAGGAACCCATCCACTACCACTGCTCTTCAATCTTCGCGTCGACATGAGCGTCTACTTTCGGACGACTTGAAGCCGAAGCAGCAGCCCGATGAGCGTGAGCATGCCGATCAAAAGCAGAGTGGTGTAAGTGGGACTCTTTCACTCCATCTCTGCACACCATCGCGCCTCACCGCCAGAGACTGGTCGGCATTTTCTCCACTGATTTGTCACTACCCAATCCTCGCGCGGCCTACCCCAAGTGGAATGATGTATCCAGATTTCATTTCGTACGCTCCAAGACATGTTGCGTGAGCGGTTCAGATACGCACTCGACGGTGGATCAGCTGCTCCGGACGAACGCGCCGCTCTTCCATTTCTTGTCAGATCGAGCTTCTTACTAGCTTTCCATCGTCGAGGCGTCTTGTAGTCCTGAACAAGCCCGTAGATATAAGCTACGCCGTTGCACTGGCCCGATATTCCTGCTCTGGATTGGCGTCATGTCCTGATTCCTCCGCTTGTTCCCTTCGAAATTCAACAACTAACACTGATCGACTGTAGCAAGCATCTCCCAAGAAACCGGTGCTCCAAAGTCTGGAAGCAGCACGAGAGCACACCAAAGCCGTGCGAAATAAAGTCCGCTCCTCACTCACCAACTTAACACCACACGAGAACATCTACAATCTACCCAATTTCCTCACCGTCACTCGACTGGTCGCTGCGCCCGTAACAGCGTATTTGCTGCTGCACGACCACCATGCATGGGCTCTCGGACTGTTTGCTTATGCCGGGATCACGGATTTGGTCGATGGCTACTTGGCCAGAAAATGGAAACTGCAGACTGTCGCAGGCAGCGTGATGGATCCCATGGCTGATAAAGCATTGATGATCATATTGACAGTGACTCTTGCTGTGAAGGGTGCCCTCCCCGGTAACATCCCACCACCTCAGCATCATCTTGGCAGCGCATCGAGCTAACTACTACCCACAGCATACCTAGCGACTTTGATTCTTGGGCGTGATGCATCGCTCGCACTAGCGGCGCTCTACTATCGCTTTGCATCATTGCCCGCGCCAAAGACGTTTATGCGTTATTGGGACTTTTCGCTGCCCTCTGCGGAGGTGCATCCCACTACAGTGTCAAAGTACAACACACTCCTGCAGCTCGTTCTCATTGGATCCACCCTCGCCTTGCCTGTATTGGCGACGGCACAGCAACAGAACACGGAGATGCTTCAGTTCATGGGGATGAATTTGCACAACACCATGATTTATTTTCAATGGCTTGTCGCCGGAACAACTGCCTGGAGTGGCCTCAGCTATGCCTTTCTCAAGAATGCCGTCACTATAATGGGTTCGGACGAGAAGCTCAAGGCAAAGCAAGGCGCCAGAGGTCGAGCCATTATCGGGGTGACATTTGGGAGCGTGGTAATTGCCGCTGCGTGGTTTGCTTTGAGAGACCATGACAAAGTTGTACCAGACAACAAGGCGGGAAAGAAGATAGAGCAGCCTGTATAACACTGCCATTTTTGGCCAATTAAAGAACGCCGAGCAAGCAAAGCGTTCCAATCTCTTCCCCTGATTGAGTTTCCCGAGGCCATGGATCGCCTCCCCACCAAAAGCCGTTTGTCGACCCATGGAGCTCTTGACAATGCTTCAACGGTTCATAAGAACGATTGCGGGTCGTTGAATGTGAAGCAAACCAGAAATCGGTCGCATGGAAGAAGACTGCATACTGTAACAAATGCTATAGCCCGCTGCCAGGGGTGCTAATCCACCATCTATCTGTTGTCGTCCCACGGCACCATTTACTGCAAGCCCAAACCAGGCACAGTGATTGCTCGCGGATCGATTTGCGCTAGAAATACAAAGATGCGAGATGCAAGATGAAGATGCAAGACGCAAGATGCAGGAGGTAGGCAAAATCACCCAACCTCGCCATCAATAACGGCCAATCGTTGAGCTTGCGTCTTCGCCTTTTTGCTCATTCCCTTCCGCTTCTTGTTCGGTGGACCGGATTCTGCATCAATGGGCGTCGCAGCACCTGAAGGCTCGTGTGACGCGTTGTCTTCGAATTTGCCCTCGCCTGTCACAACGTTAGTATTACTGTCCAAATAACGTGGAATAAGGTTTCCGGATTGCTTACCTTCATGGTACATGTCGTCCATACTCATCTCCTTGCGTTTGGCAGCAGCAGCCGCCTTGCGCTTCCGACCCTTGCCTTGCTTGGCTTCCTCCTCGAGAACTTCGGCCTCGCGACGCTCAATGGCCTCGACTTGGTCGTCGTCCGCCAGCCACATGGCCATTTCCTTGGTACGATTGCCCTCGCCTCTGCGATTGTTAAAGTCGACGGTGCTGTTTCCTGCTTGGCCAGAAATGACGACGCGCTGCACCTCTTCCTTCTGTAACGCTCGCTTGCGAATACGCTCCTCGATGGTGCCGCGGGTGATGAGTCGATAAACCGTGACCTGTCTGGTTTGACCGAGACGATGTGCACGATCCATGGCTTGAGAATCAATCGTTGGATTCCAGTCGGAGTCGTAGAAGATGACAGTATCGGCGGAGGTCAGATTGATACCCAAACCACCGGCGCGAGTGGAGAGCAAGAATACAAAAATCTCCGGCGTGCTTTGGAAAGCAGCGACAGTGTCTCTTCGATCCTCGAGCTTGGTGGAGCCGTCGAGACGACAGTATTTGTAGTTGCGATACGTCAGGTACTCCTCCATCAAATCGATCATACGCGTCATCTGGAAGTACAGTAGCACCCGATGACCGCCTTCTTTGAGTTGACGGAGCAGCTGATCGAGCTTCGCCAATTTGCCGGAGTCTGTGACGAAGCGCCGCATGCTGGGGACCTCAATGCTGGTAAACTTCTGCTTTTCAGAGGCAGGGGGAGGGAGCAGATTTGTTACTGGATAATGCGATGGTGACAGCTTCGACTGCAACAGTGCCTGCTCTGTGGGTATGTTGATGGGATACAGTGCACGGCGCACTGGGACATTGAAGAAAGAAGTCTCCTGCTCGACCAGGCTGTGATTACTCCGACACACGAGCTCAACGGGCGGGGCGGTGGCAGGTGGCAGATATGCCGCTTCGATGACACCGTATCCAGTCTTCTTCATGGCATCTCTTGAGATGTTGTACAACTTGCTCAGGTAGCCTTCGTTGGTGACCTCAGCTAGAGGCCGTCGATCGTTGCGGCCGACGATGTTGAGCATGGCGTGGACGGGAGTGAAGCCAGAGTTTTCCTTCTCCTCCTCATCATCATCATATGCGACCTTGAATTTGCCAGCGCCATCGTCTCTCTTTGCAAGATCTGTGACCCGCTCGATCAGGCTCTGGCGCGCTGTGAGRGCTACCTCGCTCGCGGAGCAATCGACGAATCGCAGCCATGAAAAGCCTCCCGATGACTGCTTTGAATCCTGACTGCTGGTAATGTGCTGCTCATTCCAGATGCTGAGGTCGTTGTGAAGCCATTTGCTGCGCCAGCCGGCCTGCGCATTGTTTGGGCCGACGACATCAAGCCTACCTGGGCCTTCGCCAAGCATGCTGGGAATCCAAAACTCTATCAAGTTGCGCACGCTGTAGGCAACATTGACGTTGTGCCCTTCACGCATGAAAGAAGCCGTTTCCGCATAGTATGACATGGACATTGGACTCCACGTGTCGGCTCTCTCAAATAGGTCTGGATGATTGCAGACTTTCCTGAACTGCATGACCAAGTTCATCAAAGTGGCGGTATCCTGGTCGTCGCCCACCGCTGCTTTCTCGATGAGATCCATGATGCTGATCTTGTTGCGAAGATTGGTGTAGTAGGCCCGCTGTCGGTATGTGAGATCGCAGTACACGTCCTTTTCGATCTTGTCTCCAAGTTCTTTCTGGACGTGCTTCTTGATACGCCGCAACATGAAAGGCTTCAGAATCATGTGCAGACGCCTCAACTGATCCTCATTGAGTTTGGTATTGGACTGCGCATGATTCTCAATGTCCTTTGAAAACCACTCCGAAAATTCGTCATGACTATCAAAAAGCGATGGCATGATGAAATGGAGCAAGGCCCACAATTCCTGCATGTTGTTCTGGATCGGCGTTCCAGTAAGTAACAAGCGGTTCCTGCAGTGAAAGCCCAAAAGCGATTTCCAACGAGACGAAGACGAAGACTTGATGGCTTGAGCCTCGTCCAGAATCATGTACTGCCATTTGACTTTTTGGAAGTATGCGGTGTCCTGCACGACCAGCTGGTAGGATGTGACCAAGACGTGAAAGGGGCTGTCACGGGTGTATGTGATGTGCTTTCGATCCCAGAACTTGCGCAGAACCTTGCGATCTTTGGCGGAACCCCAATATGGCAGGACTTTGATGTTGGGTACGAACCTGGCGATTTCCTGCTGCCAATTGTGCAACGTACTCGCCGGTGCAATCACCAAGAACGGTCCCCAGATGTTGTGTACCTCTGCCAAATATGCCATGACGGAGATGGACTGGACAGTCTTTCCGAGGCCCATCTCGTCGGCGAGAATGCCGTTGATACCTTGCTCGTAAAGATTGACAAGCCAGTTGAGACCCTTGATTTGATACTCTTTGAGTTGACAAGTGAGCATTTTGGGTTGCTTGACGTCCATGCTCTGCAATGAGGTAGGATTCTGGAAATTCATCTCGCCCTCGTCGAAATTTGCCTGAGCATCTGCAAGTTCGTTGCTGTCCTGCTCGGGTTTGTTGAAAGCTCTTGCGCGATCTTGCGCCTCCTTGATAGCGTTTTGGGCATTGGCCTTGGCCGCTTCATGAAGCGCCGTCTCATCTTCAGCGTCAAAGTCCAGGTCTTCAAAGTTTGTGACCTTGGCGTTGATGTTGGCGGAAGACTCGCCGGCGTCGGGCTCGTTGCTGGATATGGTTTGGCCACTGGGCGCAACATCATCACCCGCCTTTTCAATCTCGTCGGTCTTGACCTTCTTGCCGATGAAATGCGAGTAGAGCTCTGTTTGAGAGATCAAAAAGTTCAACTTCCGCTTCTGTCGATTGGCCTCACGCTCGGCCTCAACCTTACGAGCCTTGTCGAGCTCTTGTTTCTCTGCCACCTTGCGGCCCTCACGCTCGTCCCGCTCGTTGCGCTTCCAGAATCCCAGCATTTCTCGCATCGCACGTTTCGCGCGAGCAGCGACATCCTTGGTGCTCTTGTTGGTGCGCAATTGCCAACGACGAGCCTCTTTAGCCGCCAGCTGTGCGGTCTTACGGGCATTGGAATGTTTGGTGTCAATACTGTTGTTCTTGAGCCGGACCACCTTGGGCACGCCCTTGGCCAAGTCCCGCGTGATTTGCTCGTAGATCTGGTTGTATCCCTTGGACTCAAACTTGGCCATTCCAGTCAAACCCGCTGTAGGCTGCGTGTCGAAAACGGCGGGAGTAACCTCGCTGTAAGGCTCCGAGTCGTCTCGCAATTTTCGATCTGCGTAGGCGGCCAGACGTTCCTCTTCTTTGGGTGCGATCGAAGGGAGATCCTGACCCTGGTCGAGATAGGCCTGGGCGAGTCGTGCAGAATCCTTCTCTGCCTGCTTTTGCTCCTTGCTCTTCCGCGCCCGAGCCCCACCTCCGCCACGCGCGCCGCGACCGCGTCCTCTCCCGCCAGCTGAGAACTCTGGAGTCCCCTCTTCGTTGCCCTGATTGCCGGAATAAAAAGAGGTCATGAGGCCTCCATCCATGTTGACCTCTCGTTCACGCTCGCGCCTCCCGAGTGCTGTACCAGTTTGGGGAGACTCGTTACGGAACTCCTTGGATGGTGTGATACCTTGAAGGCGACTTTGCGTGTCGCGGATCTTCTTGTCGTGGCGCTGGATGAGACCCTCGAGGCGGGCCTTTTCTTCTTCGTCTTGAGCCGAGGCCAATGTTCTCAGCGCCTCGTCACGTTTCTGTTCTTCGTCTGCAATGGCCTTTTCGCKACGTCTCTTCCGTTGCTGGTCCTTCTTCCTCTCTTTATCTTCCTCGACCTCCTTCAGCCGCACTTCTTCTGTAACTTCTGGCTCATTCTGATCAATGTAGAGGTTCCGTTCAGACTCTGCCGCGAGACTGAAATGGTCATGGTACTTTTGCATGAGATTGAGGCGCCGACGCYTCCTCTTCGCGGATTCGGCAATCTCACTCTCCAGAGCGCGCTTGTGTGTCCTCTGCTTGAAATCCACTCTAGGAGCTTCAATCCCAGGCATGTCAATCTCCACGTCAGACAAATCACGAGCCTCAATCTCCCTGTAGGCAGCTTCGGTATCACGGATTGTCAAGCTCGGCGGTCCGGTCTGCGGTGTTGGTCGTGGCGTCACTGCCTGCGCAGCTGGAGCAGTGCCAACAGAATTGTCTGCAATGTCCTGAGGTGTACTCTTCGCACGAACTCCAGACTGGGAAGCACTGGAAGTTCGACTTGGTTTGCGGCTGGTAGGCTGTTTGGGAGCTCGAGAGGCATTATCCAGTTTGGCCAGCTCTGGAGATGAAGCGGCAGGAGCTTCGACATCTTCGGAGAGAATGTTCATCATCGACATTGGGTTCGTGCTGCGCGGGACGGGCGCTGGTGGGGCTGCAGCAGAGTCCGCGCTGGCAGGATGCGAGTGTGTACCGTTGCTCCTGACCGGGTCGTAGGAGCCGGGTGATCTGGCATCAACGGGAGGATGCGGCATGGGATGCGCGTGTGTTGATGTGGGCGGCGAGGACTGGCTGTGATGTCGACTCATCGTTTGATAATGATCGTGGTTGTGATTGCCTGCGTAAGATTGCGGCGGCGGATGTTGGTCAAATTGTGCGCGTGACTGTGTACAATAGTTATTATAAATGATCATTGTCATGTCTGATTATTCYATCCATTGTTGTTCCAAAAGCTTACCTGAGCGGGCGAGCGATACGGCGTGCTTGCGACGCYTGCTCTGGCCTCGCTGGTCGGATCGTAGTAGCTCGACGTCGCTGCGCGCTCATGTGTCGTTGCCGTTGTCGTTGTCGTCGGCGAAGGCGGTGGTGGTAGTCGATTGGCCGTGGGCGAGGCGGGCACGCTGCGGTAGTGGGTTGGTGATGTAGGCGGTATGTAAGGCCCCGAGCCACCTCGCCCGTACGTTTGACCGTCCATGATCGTCGGGACAGTTCGCCGTGAAGGACGTGGGTCTTTCGTCTAGATTGTTTTCACTTGCATCGCGGTGATGGTGATGCGTTTGGCATGTGATGGGGAGGTTCGACTGATGATGGATGGCAAGGACACGGCGGCGGTGATGTCGATGTCGCGGGCGGATGTGCAAGTCCGCGTTCTAGCGAGCGAGACAGGCGAACTGATGCGGAGCCGATCGATGGCATTCAAAAGTACCTTGACCCAGGAGTAGCGTTACGTGCCAACGCGCAGACGCGACAAACAATTGGTGGTATACTTGATGGTACAAATACATATCACTCTCGAGTCCTTTGCGAGTTTTAAGGAATTCTATCTTTTCACCATGGTCACTGTGCGCTCGCTGAGTCTGAACTTGCTGATGAGGTGTCGGCGCCTCATTGATTTCAGGTTCAACTTGCTTTGTTGGAAGAAGGTAAAAGCCAAACGGAACTCGGATGTCAAGACTCAAGTGCTGCCCTGGCGAACGATCGCGAAGGGCATCCACACAGTCCACATTCTCAGCAGGGAGCGGGATCTTACTTGCAAGGGTGTTGTTAATACTGCGAGGAGGAATTACACACAACACCAGCATCAACACGTTCTATTTTCATGTTTCGTGGATTGGATGTCAAAGGTGGAGCAGGAGCGGCGGCAGCGGCAGGGGTCTGTGCTTACCACTTGGGGTAGATTTTAGACCGAAAGTTTTGGAAGCATTTCAGATTTCATCCGCCGACGCAAATCACATCAACCACAGACCTCCGTCCTTCCATATGGCGTCCGTATACAAATCCATGGCCAAAGGCAAGGCTACCGGCAAAGGACGCGACGAAGACGGTGAAAGCAAACCCAAGAATCGCCAGCGGGTCCTGATCTTGACATCGAGAGGTGTGACCTACAGGTACTGCGTTCTCTTGCCTCGAAAATCTTCAATTTGCTGACGTTCTTCAACCCCAGACACCGCCATCTCCTCGGCGACCTACACGCACTCCTTCCTCACAGCCGCAAAGACGCCAAACTCGACACGAAAACCCAGCTCCACCAGCTCAACGAGCTCGCCGACCTGTACAACTGCAATAATGTCATGTTCTTCGAGGCACGTAAAGGCAAGGATCTCTACATTTGGCTATCAAAGCCTCCCAATGGACCGACTGTGAAGATGCATTGCCAGAATGTCCATACCATGGAGGAGCTGAACTTCACTGGAAACTGCTTAAAAGGGTCACGACCGGTACTGAGCTTCGATGCGAGCTTCGACAAGATGGCGCATACACGGGTGTTGAAGGAACTGCTCACACATACTTTTGGCGTACCGCAATCGAGTCGCAAGGTCAAGCCGTTTGTGGATCACGTCATGGGCTTCACGTTGGCAGACGGAAAGATCTGGATCAGGTGCTATCAAATCTCGGAAACCGAAGTCGCAAAGGGCAAGCCTACTGAGGGAGAGACTGAGGCCCCTAGTAAAGCTGTGGCCAAGGTTGGGAAAGGGGAGACACACGTTTCGCTGGTCGAGATCGGACCTAGGTTGGTCCTGACGCCGATTGYGATCCTGGAGGGAAGCTTTGGTGGCCCCGTGATTTACGAGAACAAGGAATTCGTGTCGCCCAACCAAATCCGTAGCGACTTGCGAAGGGCAAAGTCGGGCAGATACAACCGCCGTGCGGAGGACGAGATGGGTAGGAAGGCACGCCATCGTGATCTTGGCCTGCGGACAGGCGAGKGACAGAAGGAGGTTGACGAATTGGATGAGCGCGTGCTCTTCGCATGATCTGGTTTCGAGAGTGGATGGCGCATTGTCTGAACCCTACCTTACTCTTCAGTTCTGGCGGCCATGTGAATTCGGGGCATGCCATCGGAGGAAGGAATACGGGCATGGCGAGGCACGAAGGCGGTATCGCACATTGCGGTTCTTCTAAAAGGATGGTTACAGTATGGAAGCAGCTCGTTCCCCAGCTGCTATTGCTCTTAGCGAGGCGTTGGGTATGTATCATGAATGATATCGGGAACATCACAAACAGATCAATCGCGCGACTTTCACACGGCTTCACAGAATGTAAATAGACAAAGCTCACGCCTCTGCACCTCTGCGCCTTTGCGCTGGGCTGGCTTGTTTAATCTTCTCTCCGCGACGTCGATTCTTTATCGGACGCTGAATAACCATCCTCCAACAGTGAGTTGAAGCAGTAGGAAGAGGTCCGCAAGAATCGCACCAACGGCCAGTATGCTGCAATTGTCCCATGCTGTTGAAGTCATTCGGCATGAAACAGCATACCCAGGACGGGACGGAATGACTGTGCGTTCCATTCTGCACGCGTGCTTGTCGGCTTAACAGTATTGAAAGCTTTGAGATGCCATCTGCTCAATAACCCGATTACCTTGAACGTGTCCATGATGGGGAGCACTTCTTACCTGATCCTGTTCGTGGAAAATGGACTTTGAATGATGWCCATCTCCCAAGAGCCCAAACATCATCGCAATGATGACAGCTCTCTCAACGCCCAGCCGATAACAAAACCTCCTAGGATGTGATGACCACCAACACTCAACTGAACTTGGAGGGCAAATCGGATGTAGTGTGATCAATCATGAAAACATGCACTGAAATTGACAGCCATGGTGGATTTTGGTAGCAGTTGTAGCTTTGTCTCCTTTTTGAATGCATTTCCGCGCATGAAACGGCCATCCTAGCCCTTCCTCTCCGTGTGAACGCCTTCGCACCTTTGAGCAAGCCGTGCATCGCCCGCGTCGAACTTAATCCCGCGTTGCTGCCAGCCGCCCATACCACGCACCTCACTGCCAGAAGCCATTGCATTCGTCATTGCCGGTGCATGCTATCGTAGAATTCCCCAATCATATCGCGCTTGGGTAAAGCATGATCCGCACCATCGCTCCGAAAGACTTGGGTGGCAGGTTGTGTCTGAACTGTGCGCGCACCACTCCCGAGTTTCCTACACTGTCCGTTAGCCACAATTTCTTAAACCATCACAAGTCCATCATTGTATTCCAATGCCCTGTGCATACCGTGTGTCCTCGTAACCTTGCCCCAGATCACGCGGATCTTGCTGCCTCTAATCTCCTTCTTGCCCCGGTAGACGTATGCGATGCGCTTTCCAAGGTAGAAAGAAGCGGCCTTGGGGTCCTCGACGCCTTCGATCTTGATGAGAGAGGTGTCCGGGTTGGTGTTGCGCTTGCCGCGCTGGTACGAAAGGTGCTTGCCCCTACAAGTGAGGAAATGTTAGTGCTCGGTGAACTTGTGTCTGCAGGCATATGCGGGCGATTCGATTTCTTGGGGCAGACGTACTTGACGTATAGCCGGTGACCCTGGTCTGAAGACATTTTGATGGTGCGAGGTGTTGTTTTGGTTGGCCTGCTGAGAGTTGAAGACTTGATGAGGTGGAATTCAAACAGCAGGTGCGCCTCTTGGCGACGGAACGCGGAAGCCCCGACCACMGCCAAAAGCGGCCTAGCATGGTTTACGTTCACATTTACATCCCACCACCTGGCAGTCTAAGAAGAGKGGGACTCGGAACATTTGAAGGAATAATGTTGTGTTGGAGAGGAGACAGAAAGCTACCACGACTGCAGTCATAGAGGGTCAATGTCTGAACTGCTGCACAACCAAAGGTCAATTCGGTTCCAGCCAGTTTCTCACCACCTTCTCACCAACCATTGCGGCATGCGAGAGAAGAGCATCTTCGACCTTCCAACGCGGCGTGCCTCCACTGTGACATCAAGGAGAGCTCATGACCATCCAAATCTAGGAGAGCGTACTGAGACTGTCGGTCTGTTATACAATCTTCCAGAAGGATGCATTCAGGCGGTTGGACGTCCCCTCCAATCGACCCACAATACTTTATGTTCCAATCTCACCCCTCCAATATTTCCCGCCGCAAGGTGTTCTGAGAAACGCCCTACCCACCTCGCTGCGATCTCGGCGCGAGGAGCGACTGCGTTCGGAGTTGGACGGGCTTGCTTGCCGCCTCATCATTATGATTACTGTCACTTTCGCCCCGTGGTACGGCTCCCCACATGTTTTTCCACGTCGTTGAGTGATCACGGCGAATGTGAGCATGCGCATGGGCATGTGTACGTACATAATAGACGTTCGCTTGACGATACCATCGGGAATGGAAACCACCTGGTTTGCTTGTCACAGCACTCCTACTCCCAACATCGCCGTGCATGCGCGTGAAAGGACGACTGAGTAACGAGAAAGGGCCGAAAAAATGTATTACAATTGTCCCGACCCGGACTTAATCATTATAACACGGCGGGCAACGTCACTCACCCATTTCTTCCGTAGAACCCCACACCTACCTTTCCCACCTCCACCATCACAACAACAACAACAACATCAACCGCAGCACCTTCTCCCCGGCATTATCAACATTACCACATCGCCCATTGATTGACCCAAGAAAATATCCGAGAGCCGCTGTCATGGCCAACACTGTCATCCACAACCATGACGAGGAGCAGAACGCAGGGTACGTACTTTTTTGATTTTCTCCTCCCTTCAAGCTTGCGCCAGTTTTTCCATCGGAGGCGGCAGTGGCGACAGCAGACAACAGAGGCAGGAGAGGAATGATTTGGGGAATGCTCAAGAGCTTGCAGCCTGCGGGCAGGGAAACATTTTGTTTGCGACGCTATGTGTTTGCCCTCAACGACGGGTGCTGACAGGCGGGGCATTGCAGCACAATGGAGCTTAAAGAAAACACGGTAATTATCGTCCTCGGTGCGTCGGGTGATTTGGCGAAGAAGAAGACGTTCCCCGCCCTGTTTGGCTTGTTCCGAAACGGTTTCCTGCCAAAGGATGTCAAGATTGTCGGATACGCGCGGACGAAGATGGAGCGCGACGAATACCTGAAGCGGGTCAAGTCTCACATCAAGACGCCCACCAAAGAGATTGAGCAGCAGCTTGAAGAGTTTGTCAAGTTCACAACCTATGTCAGCGGTCAGTACGACAAGGACGAGAGCTTCCAGGACCTGGAGAAGCATCTGCAAGAGCTGGAAAAGAAGCACAAGGAGAACAACCGGGTGTTTTACATGGCTCTGCCGCCATCGGTCTTCATCCCCGTGTCTGAGCACTTGAAGAAGAACAACTACCCCAAGAAGGGCATTGCCCGCGTCATCATCGAGAAGCCCTTTGGTAAGGACCTGGCCTCTTCTCGCCAGCTGGACCAGGCTCTGCGACCCAACTGGAAGGAGGAGGAAATCTTCCGCATCGATCACTACCTGGGCAAGGAGATGGTCAAGAACATCCTCATCCTGCGATTTGGAAACGAATTCTTCGGCGCCACCTGGAACCGCAACCACATCGATAACGTGCAAATCACCTTCAAGGAGCCATTCGGCACTGAGGGACGCGGAGGCTACTTTGACGAGTTCGGTATCGTTCGTGATGTAATGCAGAACCATCTGCTCCAGATTCTCACTCTGCTCGCTATGGAGCGTCCCATCTCCTTCAGCGCAGAGGATATTAGAAATGAAAAGGTGCGCGTGCTGCGTGGCATGCCCAGCATTGAGCCCAAGGATGTCATCATCGGTCAGTACGAGAAGTCGCTCGACGGCTCGAAGCCTGGCTACAAGGAGGACGACACCGTTCCCAAAGAGTCGCGATGCCCCACCTTTGCTTCAATGGTCGCATACATCAAGAACGAGCGCTGGGACGGCGTTCCATTMATTCTCAAGGCAGGCAAGGCTCTCAACGAGCAGAAGACCGAGGTTCGCATCCAATTCAAGGATGTGACATCCGGTATCTTCAAAGACATCCCCCGCAATGAGTTGGTCATCCGTGTGCAGCCTAACGAGAGTGTCTACATCAAGATGAACTCGAAGCTCCCAGGACTGAGTATGCAGACCGTCGTCACCGAGCTCGATCTGACGTATAGAAGACGTTTCTCCGACCTCAAGATCCCGGAGGCGTACGAGAGTCTGATCTTGGACTCGCTCAAGGGCGATCACTCCAACTTCGTGCGTGACGACGAGCTCGATGCCTCGTGGCGCATCTTCACGCCACTTCTCCACTACTTGGACGAGAACAAAGAGATCATCCCAATGGGATACCCATACGGTAAGCATTTACCGTGCCACGCGATTGATTTCACGGCTAACACACATGCAGGATCGCGTGGCCCCGCTGTGCTCGACGACTTCACTTCGTCCTACGGTTACAAGTTCTCCGATGCTGCAGGGTACCAATGGCCACAAACCGAAGCAAACAAACTCTGAGGAGTTCGCTAACCTGGCCGCTGTTTTCTTAGTATGACGCATGGCGAACGACTCCAAGACTTCAAATGAGTCGCAACTCGTGACACCAGCATCAGCAATACCGAGAAAGCGACAATGGCCAGCCTGGCCACACTTCTACGGAGATGAGATCTTTATGAACAGGAAAGCCGGAGCGGGATTACTGAGCGATGGAAACCGGCGTAGTTCTAGAAAGGGGTCGAGGGACATCAAATAGAGGAGCGGCTGCTTCGATACCTGTGTGAAAAGCAAGGTCAATGCATCAGTCATTGTCATCTCCATTCCCCTCCTCATTTCTTTTTCACGTGCATGCCAAAGCTAGCGCTCTCGTTTAAGGTTCGGGACCCTTGAAGTCGCGTCCCATCCATGTCTTCGCGCGGCCTCGCGGATCTGCGTCCACCTTGCCTTATTTAAGTTGAGATGCCCTTCACACACAATAACGCATCTTGCAGCATAAAACACCAAAGTGCATACTTCGCATGCCAATGTCAATCGTTTGGCTGGAATTCTCATACGTACGACAGGGTTGATCGAGGGATGTGACCTGGCACCCTTGGCCGCACACGGACTTCTGCCCTCCGGCAGGGGATCAACGGCCAGCACCATCTCACTCGTATCTTCTATTGAGCACGACGACAACCATGGCGACCTCATCATGGATTGGCGAGCCGCGGGTGAAGGGCTCTTCGCAGTCAATGAAGCTCTTCTTGCTTACCTTTAGTCTCATCGGGTTGCAGTTCTGCTGGGGTACGATGCCTCGCATACCAATCCATAGACACACGCTGACGTGTGTCACAAGGAACCGAGCAGACATATGCGAGCCCATTTCTGCTAGCTCTTGGCCTCAGTAAGGGCGGCATGTCTCTAGTGAGCATCCGTAATATCATGAAGGGTTCCACTGCTGACCGTTCATCTCTGCTCAGGTATGGATAGCGGGACCACTTTCCGGATTGATCATGCAACCAATCATCGGAATGATATCGGACCAGAGCACCAGTCCGTATGGAAGGAGACGACCGTTTATGGTGGGAGGCACATGTGCAGTGGCTGTATGCTTGCTGGTATTGGGCTGGGCGAAAGAGTTGGTGGCATATTTTGTGGAGGATGCTGAGAGGGTATGTCCGCTGCATGATCAGGAAGGAGACCGAGATGAGGATATACACTGACTTGTCAAAGAGGCGGCATGTCACAATTCAGCTGGCAATCGTAGACATATTCGTGCTGTAAGTCGACATTAAAAACTCCGTGGATGAGATTCGATCATGATACTGACTGGATGACAAGGGATTTTGTAATCAACATTGGTCAGTTCCATTCACTTGATAGTCTCTCGGGGAACAGTTTCCTAATGGATGTATAGCACAGTCGACCTGTCGAGCGCTGGTCGTGGACACACTCCCTGTGTCTCAGCAGAAGCTCGGTGCTGCATGGGGTAAGCAGATTCTGACGCTTTACTTGCCCGAAAGATGCTGATAATCTCCAGTAACCAGAATGGCTGGTGTTGGGCACATTCTTGTGTTTGGCATTGGGGCGCTAGACTTGGAGGTCGTGCTTCCTGGCTTGTTCGGCTCTACCCAATTCCAAAAGGTGTGCTCAATTGCAGCCCTGGCAATGGCAATCAGTCAATTTGTCACCTGTTGGGCTGTGACTGAGCGAGTATTAGTATCAGATGAGTAGGTGTTCGTGATGCCGCGCAGCCTTTCATCACCTAACTCTTTGACAGGCCAACATCAGGAAACAAGCAAAGTCTCGGATCCATCATCTATCAGATCTATGACAGGACAGTCAACGTGCCGAAGAGGATACAAGCCATCTGCTGGGTACAATTCTGGTCATGGATTGGTTGGTTTCCCCTACTGTTCTACGGTTCCGTCTGGGTGGGAGAGATCTATCTTCGCCATCAYGCCCCAAACGAGACTGGCGATGCACTTAGTCAAGTTGGAATGGTTGGCAGTGCAGCTCTCATTGTGCACTCTGTCACTACATTCATAACAGCCATCGTCTTGCCTTGGTTAGTCACCAGTCCCGGAGAGGCGGAAAAGCCAGGATTCACTCCTCGACCACCGGAGAGCCTCAAAGGCATCATGGAGACACTCACAACAATCTCCAAGCCCAGTCTCCTCAACACTTGGACTTTCGGAACTTTGGTATTCTCCGTTTCGATGATCTTTGCGCCTGTCGTAAAGTCGGTAGGGTTCGCAACGTTGTTGATGGCCATCACAGGAGTGTCATCAGCAATCGCTAGTCTGGCTGCAGGGACATATATTGGTGTTGAAGTCAACAGACTGGGCCCTGCGCTCCCTCAGCATGTCCATCGACAGACAACAGTTGATGAGAAAGAGCTGGACGAGAAGAACATCCAGCCAAAGTCGACTTCTCATCCTCGGCGCGCATCAGATGCTTCCGGAGGGGTGTCTTCCAGCGGAGAACTGAGCGGTATCTACCTGGGTATCTTGAACATCTACACCACTATTCCACAATTCGTTGGAACTGGTATCAGCTGGGCTGTATTTTCGATCATGGAGCCGGGAAAAAGCCCGGAGCTCGCCAAAGATGCCCATCCAGACGAGCACCATTCCACGGAAGGAGTCAGTGCCGTGGGAGTCTGCTTGTTCATAGGCGCCTTGTCCTCGCTTGTGGCTGCCAGGGCTACAAGACGATTGAAGGAAGACACGTAGGACAGACGCAGAATGGACGGACAGGTCCTACACTATCTGGTGGCTCCGAGGGAGAATGAAAGTYGTCCGAGACGCAACCAGTCTGGGTCATGACTTTCATGGACAGCCGTTTATGGTTTGGACAGCCATCGGACAGAGAGATGCTCCCCCGATCTCAACCTTCGCATATAAGCTCGCCATCGTTACTTTGTGCGTTGCGATTGGTGGCAAAGGCGCCGAGATGGCCAGGGTTGTGTTTCCGCGCCGATGAGCCACGGGCATGCAGACAGGGGATCCATGTAAAGTAGTCCAGACACCACAGTTGTGGATGCCGGCATCAGAGTATGCGTGCGCGCCCGAATCTTGGATGCAGCTTGGAATATCCATGTGACAAGTAAGGAACTTGCTACTTCTGAGCGACTCGTTGGATGCGTGCAAAGCACCACGTTTGAATTTTGGTCTGCGACATGGCCAACTGCCGCTAGCTTCTCTGGCACATCTGCGACGCAACAAGRCTCCTAGCCAATATTAAGATGGTTACAAACATTTGTTTCGACGACAAGACGTGGAGTTCATGTGGCGTACGAATCTTGTCGATAGCTTGATGCGCATGATATGAAAGGCTACATCTGCGTCGAGGCATGTGTTCATGTTCAACGTGCCCCTTCCCTTTGGCCTGTTGATTTATGATATGCTATGCGGACGCGGATATACCTTGAACGGTGACGCAAGTAGCTATATTAAAATTGAACTCTAACCTTACTAGTACCGTACCTGTTCGGCGTCTGGACGACTTCACCTTTCTGCGCCATTACACACAACGCCGCCTCAGTGAATGAAACGGCTGTGGCGGTTCAGCGGGGACAGGCGCTATCATGGTCGTGTCAAGCCTTCACATATGGCAGAGGAATTAGACGCGCCTGGATCTGTTTCTTCTCGCACATTTACAGCGGCATAGCGGCTTCTGACGGCCGGGACAAGGACAAGGACCGGGCAACATGGAGACGAGCAAGAAGTCGTCCTCTGCCTCATCCTGGGCGCGGAGGAAGAGCTTCTTTGCGCTGTCGACTCTGCGTCCACCCTCCCTCGACGACACTTCTACTACCAGCAATCGCAAGACCCTCACGAAGAAATCGACGAGATCGAACGACCGCACGCCCAGTCTCTCGCCGCTCACGACAATCACCCACCCGGATGTGCCACAAGCGCAATCCCTGTTCGATCAGCCGAGCACAAGCATACCACGCCGGCCGGAGCTGAGCATGAAGGGCAGCAAGAGGCCGCCCTCTGTTTTCGAGTCTTTCCGGAATAGCGTGCGTGCCAGCAGCGATGAGCTCACGCCAAATGGAGGATACTACGGAGAGCCGTTGTCTACCACATCCTCCAAAGCGCCTTCCCTGGTGTTCGATCACACAGTCGACGGTGCAAGTCCACACATGCGTGCGGTGCTGCTGCATGGAGAGGTGCAGACCAGCGCGGGCATGTTTCGAAAGAAGAAGGAGTACCTCGTTCTGACAGAGGTCCATATCATCCGCTACAAGTCTCAGCTCAAAGCAGCAGAGACCTTCAAGACGATCCCCCATCCTGCCGGTGGTCGAAGSCCGACTGTGGTCCGCCATAGCTCAGGACACGGATCGATGGCTTCAATCAGCTCGCAGAGCGAATTGCAAACTCTATCAGACTCATCAGGAGACAAGCATGGGAGGGTTCCCCTACGGCAGGTTGTAGCTGTGCACAAGCTAGACGATGGGAAGCCCTACTTTGCACTCGAGGTGTGCTACATGGACGAGGAATCCGGCCAGGCATCGGCCATGACTCTACAATTCAGTAATCCTGACGAGCGCGACGTCTGGCTGAAGCGAACTCGTGATGCTGTGAACGACGCCAGGCTGCGAGAGCCGACCTACATTACTCCCACCAATCTAGAAAACGCCGCTCGGGTGGTTGAGCGCGATAATGACTATGATCCGGACAATTGCGCCATATTCAAAGTGGTACAACGACAGGTCGCCACCAAGTCTGGCAGTCGATCGTCAGCAGAAGATTTGACCAAGGTCGCATCAACAGTGTGCTTCCTCGTGATTGGGGTCCACAAGTTGCATTTGATTCAGCTTGTGAAACCTGTGGCACGCACTTCAAGTCCCTCGCTCGCAACGAATCACTCGCAGTCTTCCTATGGCATTCTCACTCTATCTTCTGTAAAAGTCAGCAGCTTCGATGACACTTTTGAACTCACCTTCCGACAGCCACTCCAGAAGCCACGGACTCTGTACTTGGCGTCTTCAGCATCGCACGACATTGCAGCGCGACTTCACTTCTCCAACAACTTCTTGAGACCGGAATGCGGGCAACGTCTGTTTGGATGGGTCGTCCCTCCGGAGGTCGACGAGCTACTGGCACCGCCGACCTCGGCTGAGACTGAGGAACACAATTGCTTGGATCGCACGCTCATAGCCTACTGTGTTGCGTACGGTGTCAATCCGGCGAATGTGAGATATACCATCAATTACACCTGCGAAGATGCTCCTGGGTTCGAGCTTCTTCCTCCAGTGGACACGCGACGGACGACTTATGGACCTCTCGAACTACTTGCAATATTGCGAGCGCTGCGATATAATGAAAGTTTTGGAAGTGTTTCTTTTGCAAATGTTCAGCTGGACGGTCTCAACGGGCTACACGATAATTATGGACAGGAGCACGTCTGCGCCCGAACGAAGCGTGGAACGGCAATCAAACTGACGGCCGAGGAGCTGAACCAGTCTTCGCTTTTAGTTCAGGAAGTCCGAGCATTGGCCGCGACGAGCAAAAAATTGAGGCGAATGGACTTTTCTGGGTGCATGAACACAACACAGACAGGTCCCGATGCCAAACCGGACAAATCATCTCGGACCAAGGATATCGGATGCGGGATTGTCGAAGCACTCTTCCCTCTCTGCAAACATCAAACCACCAATGTCGACTGGATATGTTTGAACGGGATTGAACTTAGTGACACTGACCAAGATTACTTGGTAGGAGCAGCTGTGGATAAGTCGTGCCACTTTCGTGCCATTGAACTCAACCGGTGCGGGCTGAATGATAGGAGTATGGGTCTGATTCTTGATGCCCTGAGGGTACAGGAGAACACCTTGGAGGCACTTGAGATTGCAGGCAACACATGTCGACTAAATCCTTCCGCATTTGACAGCCAGCTGGGCATGTTTGGCTTCATCCGCAAGCTCAATCTGTCCAATGTCTCGCGAACGTCTGGAGCAGAGCCGTTTCTGCAGGCGGAGACACTCTTGATCTGGCGCTTACAAGAGTTGCGATTGAGTGGCACTGCCCTGAACCCGGCCACGATCGACGCCATCGCGGCATACCTCGTGCATCCCCAGTCGGATAGCTTGCACGAGTTATACGTCGACCACACCTATCTCACTGGATCYGACGTTGCTACGCTCTTACACAGCCTCTGTGCCAATCGCAGCGCCGTACGGAACATGCATCTCGACATTGGCCAGTGTTTGCTCAACAAGGGTTTGGATCAATTCACGCAAGCGATATCCGCGGGGCTGACGCCATCCCATCTCAGTATGAGAGCGATCGAATATCGTGAAGAAGCAATGTTTCGAAAAGTTATAACAGCATTGACCGGAAACAAAACGATACGCTTCTTGGACATGTCGCAGACCGCTCTCCCCGGCGACGCAAGCGACGAGACATGCAAGGCTCTCAGTCGGCTTCTTGCGGAGAACGACACTCTAATTGAGCTGGACATCTCTGGCGATGATTCACGACTCGCAACCTCCAAATTCGGATCTGGGATCAACGAAACCCTAAACGGCCTGAAGCAAAATTCAACGCTCCAAGTTTTCCGTATTGAGAAGCAAAAGCTTGGTGTGCGCGGTGCAAGCACGCTGGCTGAAGTTCTTAGGGTCAACCGGACGCTACTCGAGCTGCATTGTGACAACAACGACATCCCTCTGCAAGGTCTCACGGACCTCGTGAATGCTCTTATTGACAATACATCTTTGGTAGTCCTGCCTCCGATGAATGATGGGCGCACGGCCGCCTTCAGAGCTGCCGAATCCACGATGAAGGTCAWGTCAGATTCAGACTCCCCAGTGTTACCAGCCAGTACCAAGCCTTCCAATCACCATCACACATTCCATGGCGCTTCGGTCATGAAGCGAGGGCTAGCCAATGTCCGCAAAGGGGCATCTCGAAACGCGGCCTCCAACTCGCCATCTTTCCCTGCTCTCTCATCTTACGATCGCTCATCAATGTCGTCCGACCCGCGTGCCAGTGCGCCGCTGTCGTTGACGCTGCCGGCTAGCAAGATCAAGCATGCTTCATCAGCGTCGATCACTGCGCTACCGTCCATCTTTACGGTGCAGGACATCCAAACCACACATCGTCTGCTCACCGAACAGTGGGATCGTCAGTGCTATCGTTTGGAGCAGTACCTCAGGCGGAATTGGTGTATCCTCAATCAAATTCCGTGTGAGATGGAGGTCGAGGACGAGAAGTTCGAGAGACCGGGCTCGGTTGGATCGATCGGCAAGATGCTGGAACAGGTCAAATATGACACCACTCCGAAAGCAGAGCGACCAGCCTACTTCGAATCGTTTACCGATGCTCCGAGAATGCCTGGTCAGACTGCCATTGCAGGTAGCGAGAGAGAGAAGCCGCAAGAGAGACATAATGTCAGCTTCAAGCACTTCATCCTTGATTCAGATGCCTCTGATTTGGATGAAATCGACTGGGGCGAAGATGTGGAGGAGAATGTAAGACAGCTGAGGCGGGAGGCGGACACCCAAGAGGAGCCTCGCACACCTACGCAGCAAGGCTTCCACGTATAACGAACACCAGCATCAGATAATCTTCCATGTCGTTGTAGATTGAAGCTCAGTGGCTTGCTTGGCCCTGGGCTTCCGGCGTGCGTTACCCTATATTCGGGCAGGACGATCGAAGGTCCTGGAAGGGAAACGGGAGTTTGGTGATGGACATGACTGATTGTAGATTTGGATTTGGGTGGGCTGCATGCGTTCGGATGGAAAGCGTTCAGCATATGTAGCAACCGGCATGGAAAGCAGCAACGTGAGATGTATAATTACGAATATTCTTGTATCACTACGCCATGTGTGATCTCGATCGCTTGCTCGTCCTGTTCATGCTTCCAACACACATGGTCAAGTCTCCCCACCATTATCAAATTGAAATGAAGTGAACAAGTTGCAACCGGCAGCTCAATGTATTTGTAGAGTCTACTCATGTTCCATTGTAAAGCATCCTCCTTTATCCATGCAACAACCGAGGCCTGCTCATATCATAATCATCATCATCGTCGTCACATTAAGATGGCGTTGCGCCTCCCGTCTGTCTAATGTCTACTGCGATGCTACTTGCCAAAGATTCGATCCGCAATCTGAACCAGCACTCTCCCGACCATGGCAGCTGCAGCAACAGGCATGAAGATCTGCAGCATTTCCACTGGKGTTTGAGGTCGTACCTCTGTGTTGATATAAGGCGTCTTGAAGCTGTCGGTCGGCCCACCCTCGATGGAGACCGCAGTTTTGTCACCGGGGAACTTGCCATTCTTCACAAAGTATGCCAGCAGCTCATCCTTTTCACGCCATCGCTCCAATACCCAGTCTGACATCTTACTACTATCATCCAGGGGAATGTCCTTGATGGCGAATCGCCTCCAATGCATGTTGACACTCTTGGGTGGTCGACCTTGGAAGTAGACTGATCGCAGCCCAAAGACTTGCGAGGCATAGCCATCCACCGGTGTACCTTCATAGGCGATAGTACAGTCATAGATGTAGTCTACGGTACCGCGAAGCTCCTGCAAGCAGAACTGCAAACCCGTACTACGCGGGAGCAGCTGATGCTTCAAGTCAGGGATGCCCGACTTGGCGGAGTACTTCTCAGAATGGCCTCTGGTATTGGCGGATAGATTAGTACCTTCCGGGAAGATGAGCAGCCACATGGGATCAAGCTGAGCGGCGCCTCTACTTCCAGTCATGGGACCGGAATGCCGTGTATTAAGCTTCTGCAGTGTGTGGCGCATCACCTGCTGGTCCGTCGCCCATTTACGAGCCATGAAGATGAAGCCGTAAAACTGCATGGCGGGGCCAATCAGAGGGATCCACTTGAGGGAATCCTTCAAGATGATGTAGATGTGGCCGTGCGTGGGTATTGCGTTGGTGTATGCGATCCACCATAGATACAGCCAGTCGGTGTAGATTTGGTGATTTGCCATGATGACCGCACGATCCCYAAAGTCGACGGTAAGCAGACCTTGCTCGTCCTGTCGCAGCAGTCCCGCCACGCTCTTGTCTCCGCTGATGCGCACCAGCGTCGGACTCCACCACTGCGTCATGGTGGTGATGAGCAGGCCAAAGAACTGCTTGGTCATGGCAATCCATGCGTAGAACCAGTCCTTGTTGTAAAAGTACAGCGGAATGGCAAGCAATTGCGCGCCATGTATGAAGAACCCGATGCCGAAAAAGTAGATGCCAAATGCAATCACTCGCAGCAGCTGCATGAAAAGCCCATGAGGCGCCTCTCCCAGAGGATGATGCTCGTCGATTTCGTCCTGCGACACGGCGGACGGGGACTGCTGCGTCGCAGGTCCGCGTCGTCTGAGTTCGCTCATGCGGGAAGGAGGAGAGCGAGACGAGGAGGCGTAAAGGTGCGGAATGTGCGGCGACTTGGGTTCGTGTCGTGCTGATAGCCTAAGGTATGTAGACAGCTGCTGCCGGCGGATGTAGTGGTGTTTTTAGTTTATGCTAGCCGTGGTCCGCACCGTCTGCTGACCTGTCGGCACGCCATGGTCGTCTATTGTATGTATGCTTCCAAGGTTGATGGACGCTGACTGTCACATGCGAGACTGATGCTTTTACGGCCTTTGACGGATGTGGGAGGTCTGTATAGACGCTGTACCACACTGCTACTATGAGATTCGTCTAATCTGAATCGGGATAAATGGGGATATTTGCTGGCGACCGAAACAACGCCAACGTCAATCCTCCACTTCGACAACAACGACGACCGATTGCGAACATGATCATGGGAAGATGATACATTTACGGCGATGCTGGCGAGGCATTCATCTCAGCACTCGAGGCAGTCCGGCACGATGCTTTGCTACATCTGCGACGCGCCGGGTTATAAAGCACTTGAATGAGCTTTCCCCCAGATCTCATCCCGCTTTTCGAGGCGAGTTGCAACAGTGCCACTTCCTCACAGCCACGGAAAGACTAACCGGAGAACAGAGACCAGCAATCATGATCTTCTTGCGTTGACATGGCCGGCGCCGCCACGGAATGTTTTGATAGTTGCCAAGCCCGACGACGAGCAGGTCAACAACGCAGTGATTGAATACGCAAATCACATCCACAATGTCTACCCAGGGACATTCCTGGTGTTTGAGCCAAAAGTCGCAAATCAGATTCACGAGCAATTCTCTTTTCCAATCTACGTTTCAAATGGCGAGAGCAATGCGGAGCTCCAGGAGAAAGTAGATCTGACCACGACCCTTGGAGGCGATGGCACCATTTTACATGCCGCATCACTCTTTGCTACAGCGGAAAGTGTTCCTCCCATTCTATCCTTCAGTATGGGTACTCTAGGATTCCTCGGAGAATGGAAGTTTGCAGAGTACAAACGAGCCTTCCGCGAAGTGTACGTCTCTGGCGCGCCATCTCCGCTGACACGCCGAAGCACGGATGAGGCAGAGCAAGGAAGCATGGCGGAAGGGTGGGTTCAGGTCCGTGGAAAGTCCATGGGCGTCTCGAGGAACTCTAGAATCCTCCTTCGCAACAGGCTTCGGATTGGCATATTCGATTCGAAAGGCACACAACTCCCTCACGAACCTCCTTTTACACACTCAAACAAACGCTGCGAAGATATGTTCGCGCTGAACGAAGTCCTACTCCACAGAGGTGCCGATCCTCACCTGGCACACATCACGATCCTCATCGGCTCGCCACCACATCAGAGAACATTAACGACAGCAATCGCAGACGGCTTTCTCGTCTCTACACCTACAGGTTCTACAGCATACAGTCTCTCCAGTGGCGGATCCATTGTGCATCCTTTAGTATCCTCACTCCTGCTCACGCCAATCTGTCCACGATCCCTGTCCTTTCGACCACTGGTCCTGCCCGCCAACACGCCCATAACGCTTCGTATAGAGGCGCAGAATCGTGGCAAGGAAATCGAAGTCTCCATCGATGGCATCCGTCGAAGGGAGGGACTTACCACGGGGATGGAGGTTAGAGTTGTTGGTGAGGAGGTGCGCTCACCAGGCGCTCCTGGAGCAAGAGATTGGCTAAGAGGCGTCCCCAGTATTGTCAGAAGCGGCGGTGCAGCAGATGGAGATGATCATTGGGTGGGAGGGCTGAACTCTCTGCTCAAGTTCAATTATCCGTTCGGAGAACAGTAAAATAAAAGGTCATGTGAGATGATGTAGCAATAAGTCTTCTCCGCTACAATTTAGCTGGGTGGGTGAGGTGACAGAAGGTAACGGACTCATAATTGCAGTCCAATGCGCTGTGGTAAGCTGGCACCATACAACATTCTCTGGAGCTTCCCCTCAAATCCGCCTGTCGAAATACCACATGCGACCGCTCAGTGCTTGCAGTTGTACCCGCCAACAGCCGCTCTCCTTAACTGAGCCGGAGTCATCTCACCACCAGGTAAAAGGTACTCTCCACTGAGATCTTCCCGCGGCATCACAAAGCGTAGCTCTCGCTTGGAAATGTCCTTCGCCGCCGCAATAGCATCTAGGTACTTGGCGAGTCGATATCCTCCCTTGGCAATCTGCAGCTCCACGGTATCAACAGCACTGTTGTAGTATTGTGGGTACAAGTCACCGCTTCGAAGCACGTCTGCTCCATTAGGCATCACGGTCGAGCAAACGTATTGGTTCGCATCCGTTGCCCACCCCAAGGAAGTTGCTTTTGCATCGTCAATGTCTAGCCCAGCAACCCAGCTTGACTTCTGATTTGCATAACAGCCRCTTGTGATCTCCGTGGTAAGATTGGCAGCCCACTTCTTCGCAACAGCAAGACCATATCCGCCTTCGAGCTGTTCGGGAATGCTTGTGTCCCAAGTGGCATGTAGATTGGTACGCTTGCCAGCAAAAGTGACATTGACGCCATTACCGCCAATCTCGAACGCCTCGTCATGAAGCGGCTGAGTGATGTCTCCCACAAAGTGCACGATCCAACGAAGCGCGTAGTTGACCTGAGTACGACTCAAAGATTTTGTTGCTTGGACGCGTGTGGTGTAGTTGGCAATGGCAGAAACAAGGCAGCCCGAGGTTCCACAGTCGCGATCAAAATCCACATTGCAGCTGTGCGGCGGGTCATCATTGGCATCGATGTAGTGGAATGGGGCGCTGAATGCTCCTTCCGCGGTGTAGCGGTATGAATCGGCCCATGTGGCAACATTGGCCAGGTATGAGCTCGTGGTATCATTCAAAATATCTTGTGCCCATTGCTGGGTCTCTGGAGCGACAAAGGAAGTGGCAATGTACGCTATCGTTTGATGTCCGAGTGATCCCCAGGCGTCGACTCCATGTGCCGCTAGGAGCGCAACGATCACAGATGAGAACATGCTAGGCAAAGGTAGGGTTGATTTGGGTGGATGAGGTAAGGGAACAACGCAGGAGGGCGGCTGATGTTGTTTTCAAGCGTCCCTCTTAAACACATGCCTATCTTGGCTTTAGTGTGTATCGCTTATCCTGTCGGCGTTCGCTCTGCTTTGCGAGTTTGAGTTCAAGGTCGTCGCGACATTCTTGAGTGACGTCGGCTAGCCCCGCCAATCGGCGTGTGAAAGCCGCAGACCGAAGGCCATGCTTGAAACCGGTGGAAGGTAGCGGCCGATATCGTTGAAGCGTGGTAAACACGCTTCACTATTGTTGGTGATCATTCGTCCATGATCAACATGCCTCGCCGTGGTCAAAGTCTCCCAAGTCAATGGAGAGTCCAGATCTTTCAAGTCCAACAACCGGCTGTGTTGCCACATCATGCAGTGGAATCATCCGTATTCGACCCCGGTGTTAGGATCGCCCAAGTAGTATGGTTGGGTGGAAGCATCACTCGGTGCCTCCCTGCTCAGCTCGACGAGCGATATTCGCATGGAACACACATGCAGGATCCTYGGACCAATCGTCCGTCTTCAACATCAAATCCTCGTCGTCGTACTGATTCCTGCGTACAGCCAGCTGGTGACAGTAACCACCACGATTGGGAACCGAAGCGCCCGCGCCTTGTGCCTCCTGTTCCAGACCATCAAATGGTTTGCCTCTGCCACGCCGAGCTTTGTTGAAAGCGCCGTAGAGAACAGGAGCATTAGCAACTATAGCTGCGGTGAGAAGTTCCGTGCTCGCCCAGACGGTGCGGTTGGCCTGAATACTGGCATTCAGGGCATTGATGGGTAGCCGAATTACCGTGACAGCGATGATGAATATGCCGAGGGTACAGATCAGAATCAGTCTCACCTTGCGCTTCCATGGAGTTTGCAGGGAGAAGAGTGTTGGCAGTGGTAAGAGCAACAACATCAAATCAGTCGCGATGTTCAAAACACCGAGGACGATGAGCTGTACCTGCGCCTGGGTGCACTTTCCTGGTGCCGGGACTACGGTCCAGTATTTGGAGACTGGATCACACTCGGTGAATCCAACAATGAATGCCGCCGCCCAGGTAGCGAAGAATACTGATCCGTATGACCACCGAATTATGCGCTTTGAGTTTCCGCTCGTGTGGAAGTGGCGGCAGAAGAAATCGAGCAACACTAATTTGAGTAGCCAGAGATATGTGTTGTAGATTGGCCTATTCGCTATAGCGAATTTGCTTCCAATTGTCCTTTGGTAGATCTCCTGCGGTGTAAAGTCGATTCGAGCACGCGCGGAAGCTGAGAGGTTATTGGTGCCCCAGGTAAGCACCACATATATAAGGGCAGTTCTCGCGGCAGCACACAAGATGGCAGCGATGACGAGCCAGTCGGCGGTGTGGAGTCGTTTGAATATGGTCCTTTTCGCAATCAGTCTCGTAATGCAGATCAGTATCGCCAACGCGCTGAAGACCAGGTGGACAAAGAGGGTAGTGTCAGCCATTGCTTTCTCCCAAAGAGCAGAGCATTAGGAGGTGTCCTTGCAATGGTACGGATTAAATCTTATCGGGGTGCTGAGGCTCCGAAGGAAAAGGCCATCTGCTGCTTACACCAGGGTCCATTCTGGCTGTTGTCGAATAAAAGCATCCTCCACGAGACCGCGGGGACGCCAGGATTACAGGACATGGAACCATGTCCGTGCTGCGATGCTCGACCGAGGGGCCACTAGTAGAAAGTGTAATGTGAAGTCACATGAGAAGTCGAAGGTGGAAAATCATATCAGAGCGAAGGCCGCTCGTTCCAAGCCTTGGCGAGACAGAAGCGAGATTGTCATCTCACAGACGAGTCCCCGACGCCTTTCATCATGACATAAATAGCGGGAGCTCATTGCCCATCACGGTCATCTTCCGTAAGCAGTAGCTAGCACTGACGTCGAGGGAACCTTGTCCAGCCAAGAAGCCGCCCAAGGCCCACGGCCCAAGGCACCAAGAGGAGACTGTGCCGCTTTTCTGGAGATAAGTTAGCTTGGAAGTTCGACTTCTTGCTCTCACGTGGCGTGTGAACTTTACTGATCTCAAGGTATACTGTACGAGCAACGACATGGTCTCATCCTGGCTCCTGGCAGCATGGGCTGCGTCGACGGTAATGGCGACACGGCCATCAAGAGAAGCTCCGTACTTTCGTGACTTTTTTTACGTCGGCGGCGGATACGTCGACAATGGCAGCGGCGAGCATATCTTTCGGGACCAGATGTACGTGGAGAGATTGGAGCCTGTACATGGCGTGACGCAGGCCAGTCCGATTGTGATGATTCATGGACAAGGTATGTCGAGTCGATGCTTCTTTCTGTCTGCAGCCGCTTACTTCGACTTCACCTGGTATCAGCACAGACCGGCACCAACTTTTTGAACAAGCCAGACGGCGGCACTGGATGGGCGAGTCGATATCTACAGCAGGGATTCGAGGTCTACATTGTCGATCAAACCTTCCGCGGCCGTTCGGCGTGGGCCCCAGGAGTCGGACGTCCAACACCAGCAACGTATTCGGCAGAGCTCATTTCGAAGCGGTTCACTGCAGTGCAGGATTACAACCTCTGGCCCCAAGCGAGGTTACACACGCAATGGCCAGATGATGGCAAGATCGGGAGTGAGGTTTTCGACGCCTTCTACTCGTCCAATGTGCAATTCATCTCCAATGCTACATATCAGCAATCTACGGTGCAGGCTGCCGGTGCTCAATTGCTGGATCGCATCGGCAAGCCAGTGGTTTTGTTGGGCCATTCACAGGGCACTCTTATGCCTTTGCTGATCGCAGACGCTCGACCGAAGCTGACAAAAGCCATCATCCTGATCGAGCCAACCGGGCCACCCTTTCAAGAAGCTGTTTTCGGATCTGCCCCAGCAAGACCATACGGCTTGACCGACATTCCGTTGACTTACTCGCCTGCTGTTACCAACCCTGCCACTGATCTGGTTCAGCAAACGTATCCTCCACCAGTCGCCAACACGGACAACTCTACTGTTCCATGTGTTTTGCAGGCGAAGAATCCCTCGCCACGACAGCTCCCAAACTTGTCTCCGCTGCCCATACTTGTCGTCACTGGAGAGGCATCTTATCATGCCCCGTACGACTACTGCACCGTCGAGTATTTGAAGCAGGCTGGATGTGCAAGCACCAAACACTTGCCTCTCTCTTCGGTCGGCGTAAAAGGCAATGGACACATGATGTTCCTGGAGAAGAACTCTGATGAAATCTGGAAACACATTCAGGAATGGGTCCGTACGGTGATATGAGTCGTCTTCCATGCATTTACTTCGACTAGAATTGGCTGGGCATCTTCTGGATCATCGGTACCGCATCTGTACGTTTCAGACTCGCCGTATTCCAGGCTCTGTTGGTCTTGCTCCTACTGACACTTTTCAGTAATCGGTCTGACCTACTTAGCAATCATTGGGTGGTTGAAGCCACTACGCATATCAAAGATCAGTCAGCCTCGAAGATGCGTCGTTTATTCCAGTGCGGACGCTCTGTTTATTATTACCCAGACGATTCCCGATGCACAGCATGCATTGCAGACGTTCCCCAGCAAGTCGTCTTTCCAAGTAGACTTGGTGCGGCTTCAGATAGATGAATACATCCCTGTCAACCACGTCTGTCTCCACTCATCAAGGCCGAAGAATGGTGTCCAAGTTTGAAGTAGATCGGACGTTAGAGTCTGAGTAGATATAAGATACAAAGACGTTGTCTCCTTCACAAGGCCACTCTTTTAACCTTGGTTTATCCACTCATACATCACAATCTTTGTAGACCAGCCATGCAGCTTCGCTCTTTTCTCAGTCTCGCAATCACGCTCGCATGTGCCAGAGCTACATTAGATCCATGCACAACCAACTCCAAGGGAAAGATTCCCTCCAAGTTGAACTGGTATCTCTAGGCCTTTCCCTTTGATCGATCAAGTTCTGACCCGAGCAAGCTCGGCGACCAAAGTTTCCAAAGCTATCCAGGCAGCCGAGTGCTCGCACAATACTCGCACTTCCAAGACTCAGACGTTTGCCGTCTTCGTTACTGATCACTCTTACGACAAGAGCTACGGGTGAGGAGGCAGACTCAAAACATATCGATCGACTGGCTTATTCAATACTCTCCAGCGCTCCATACGGGACTTGCTCGGCGTACACTTGTGCGGCACCGACGAGCAACCAGACCGAGTCGGAAAAAGATTCCTGGATCTTCTACTGGGGCGAGGGTGGTGATAGCACTGGGTATGGTACTACTTGCGTGAAGAGTCCAGACGAGTAAGTGCAGCACGATTTTGAGGGTGATATCGGCCTCTACTAATCTTTGGCCATGTAGTGGTACTTGTGGATGCCAGAACAGCAATGGGCAATTCATCTACGGAGGCAATGATTGCGTTTGAAGGCGTCAAGGCCGTCCAAGTTGGCGTTGGGGAGCAGATTTCAGCTCGTTTGGGACCGAGAAGAATGTGATCTGAGACAGAGGTCTATTCAGCTGGTGTAGCAACTCAGTCATTCATCTGGCAATATGTGGGCCACGATGGTACCATCAAACGTGTTCAACGATCCAGCTGTAATCCCACATCCAAGCACRGTAGATCTTTACTGTTGTACAACCTCTTTTGCCCTACACTACAACATGTTTATACCGTGGCCAACTCCTTGCTCTGCAGACTGTCTGTCCCTCTAAACTCCCCATTCAAGCTCAGTCCAGGCCCGTTCGTCGAACTGAGGACCACCTCATGTACATCCTTTGCAATCCGATCACTCAATCCCGCAATGTCCTTTTTAACGCCCTCCAAGAATGCACGGATGTTGGCCTGCACCGCCTCGGGTGGAAAGGCAAGCTGTCCGATGGCCATTCTCACAACACCCGCACGTTCTCTGTATTCACTTCCACCGACCATGTCCTTGACGCTGCTTGCCACATCCTTGACCACGGTTCCCGTCTTGGCAGATGGCATCAATCCCCGCGGACCCAGCACACGCGCAATGCCTGCCTTGCTGAGTTTTGGAAGCGAGTCAGCCAAGCAAATGCACCTGTCAAACTCAATCTTTCCCTCTTTGACGAGTTCGAATATTTCATCTTCGCCGGCGAGGACAGCGCCCGCAGCAAGCGCGGACTTGGCGGCCTGAGAGCCTGGCGGACAGATGACGGCAATGCGGAGATCTGTCTTGACTGGGTGGGGAAGCCGAAGTCGATTGCGGACGACGGCGCCGTTTTTGGGTGTCTTTAGACGGACGTGAAGCTCGTATTTGCTGGATTGCGGGTGTCGTCCAACTTCTGCCGCGAGGAGGTAGCGCWTGGCATCGACCAAGGAGAATTGCACTGCTGCGCGAAGATCGGGTGTGTCGTAGGTCGACTTGGCCTTGCGTCGTTTTTGTGAGGCCGGAAGGTCTTTGCGCTTGTACTTGGCCGCGTTGGCCGACTGCACCGCCGTGCGCACTTGCTGGTGTGTCTGGAGGGAGGGGAGGAGGAAGGAGGGAAGTGTCGCTGTTGGCCGGGCGCGGGCCAGAGCTGCTGCGGACATGGCGGAGAAGCAGGAAGGACACGCTCGAGACGTCATACTCATACGGAAGGCCGAGATGGACGGATGGTCAGAATGCGACAACTGATGATTATTCTGGCTGCATCAATGTTCTAAGATGGAGATGCAGCTCGATGTTTCTGCGGAGAGCGGCCCGTCTTCGCGACGCAACTCTTGGCTGCCGGCTACCGACCGTGGCGCGATTGCTGCCGCCCGTCGTTGCCGTCCTCCTCCACTCCTTCCTTCCCTCCCATTCGAAGACTCTCCAAGCTCGGCGGAATGTGCGCCCAAAAACGTCATGTTCACGCATCAATGCCAGCACAGCTCTACTTGGCAAGTTATGATGGATTCCCTCCAAGACGCAGCTTACCGATTGCTTCCAAACGACCAGTGGACGGCAGCCAACCATTTCATCGAAAGGAGCATCTCAAAGTTCCGACTACGGCACAGACGGCGCCCTTTTGGTGTCCACCAGTCATGCACCTCCAATCTTGCGTACTGTGTGGGATTCTTGGATTTCATGTGGCACCACAGGAGCGGCTAGGATTTGAATCCTTCGCGTAGGCCAACGAACGACTCAAGCGAGGCGCGCGCCTCGACTCCGCCATCTGAATTCTCAACCTTGACACGCGTTTCATACACCCTCTGCGTGCTCGCTCCACTCTTCAATGGCTCGCCGGCTCATCTGGCAAGCCCTCCTCGGCGTCACACTCATTTGCGCCGCCGCACTCTTTCTCTGGCTGGCCACGGCGGAAACTCCGCTGTACAAGTTTGTCCCTGCTGCTCTGGATCGCCACTCGCAGCCGGAAGCAGCAGCTCCTCCTTCAAAGTTCTACCAATTCGACACAACCTCCCAATTCTTGCTGGGTGGCAGCGCAACAGACCATTCCAAGGAAACCCTGTGCAAATCGTTTCCTCATGAATTGCTTCGCGACATTCAGCCTGTCCTGAAGACCGGCCATGGCGTCGTTCATTCGAGAGTGCAGAACTCAATCGACAGCTGCTCTGCCTGCCTCGACAATGTATTGATACTCTCTGATTTTGATGAAGAGTTGAATGGTCGCGCCGTGATTGATGTTATTGGAGACCTCCCTCCTGCCGATCTCGAACAAGAACAGCTAGTGCCATACAAGGCGCTCAACGGACTTCCAGTCAACGGCACCATTCTGGACTCCAACATATCCAATGGAGAAGCCTGGGGGTTGGACAAATTCAAGTTCCTGCTGGGCATCAGTCGAGCGTGGCAAATGCGTCCGGAGCGACGCTGGTATGTCTTTTACGAAGGCGACACCTTCGTAGTGTGGGATAATGTCTTCAGGTTTCTTGAGAATTTCGATCCGGACACACCACATTATTTTGGATCACCTTCACCAGGCCGAAGGGATCATGATACAGTGACCTGGTTCGCAAATGGTGGTCCGGGGTACATCCTCAGCCGAGCAGCCATGAAAAGGCTCATCAAGGACGACTGGGACAAGACTACGGGCGTCTATCTTGGCAGCAAGCTCACTTCCAAGTACCGGGGCGATTTGCTAGGCGACTGTTGTGGCGACAGCATTCTTGGGTGGGCTCTTTGGAAGGCAGGGGTTTCCCTTGAGGGCATTTGGTGAGTGCGATGAATATGACCTTCTTTCGAAGCTGCCCGAGAAGTCGGTGTTCCAACCGGAGACGCCAAGAGAATTCCAGGCAAAAGGCATTGCGAATGTGGCTAACAGTCTCGATCATGCTAGGCCGAGTATGAATCCGCATCCTGTTCACGGGGTACCATTCTCGGATCTGCATTGGTGTCAGCCTGTGCTTAGCATGCACAAACTACACGAAAAGGATATGTTAGATCTGTGGCAATGGGAATGGACCAATCGACAAAGACACGTAAGCTTCTGAATGCCTCGTACGCTATACAATCTCAGGAAGACGACGCTAACTGCAAGCCCATTAGCGACCTCTTTTGTACCGTGATCTTGCCATGACCTTCCTCGACTTGACCAATACGACCATACGTCAAGATTGGGACAATGCAGATTGGGACGGGTTTCCTGCACCCGATGAAGGCAATCCCCATGCTTCAACCGACGCATGTGCACTGGCATGTCAGAATCACGGCGGATGCTTTCAATGGACGTACAACCGTCGAAGATGCACCTTTGTGAGATCTTTTCGCTTGGGCGGTGCCAAAGAACCTTTTGTGAGCAAAGGGCCGGAAGACGAGGTTTGGAGCGCAGAGGAGCGGAGATTCACAGCCGGCTGGGCTACGACTAAGATTCAGAAATGGGCCGATGAGAGACCATGCGATGTAATCGAATGGGTTCGGCCTAGTATCGAGAGGRTACTATAGGAATCAAGATTTCCGTCTGTTGGGCCTCAGCCGTTGAGTAAAGAAGCGGAGATCCTGATCATGACACCCACTCGATCGAGGATCGATGTCACCAAAGGTAAGTGWAAGCTGCATCAATGAATGAATCATGTCCATAACATGCTGCAACGCATTTTGAGCGATTTCGCCGTAGCCCCACCGTAATATTGTGATTGTTTATTATTTGAAGGCTCTACCATGGATCCATCTGTTGGAGTCTTTCGCCCATATCCGATCATGAAACATTATAATATCCGCCTGTGCTGTTCTGCACCAAGCCAGAACCTTTCAATTCATCTGTTGCTGATCCTTCGCAAGCGAGAAGGGCCGCCCGAATGCATCCGATGAGGCTGCTACCTTTGGTGGCTACGACGACTATGCTGATGTCTCAAGCGGGTACCATGTTGATTGGCAATCAACATCTTCAGGTCTGTTGTCTCCTAACCCCTGAGATCCGAACCGTTGGCTGATTTACGTAGTTCACTTCCCTGCCAGGAATTTTACAGTGAGTTGGAGCGTTCTTGGCAACTCGAAGAATGCGCAGCTGGACGAGTCTTGTGGATTGGCGTCCAATGGGCAGGGGAATCTCTGGCTCTGTCGATCTCCTGGGGACTTTTTGTTTGCGGAGGAAGGAAAGAGTTGCGATGCCATGTACTGGGGATTCTAATGCTACTCAACTGGATGTGTTATGTGCAGCATGCTTAATTCGAACCTTTTCCGCGGGGGTGGACTCAAGTGTGATGATGATGATAACTTATCATGGCCTCCACATAGGACTGCCGGCGACAGCGGTCCAAGTTCAGTTCAAACAAGTCGGCGCGGTGGTGAAATTGCTGCATAAGGGCGCCATGTTCGATTAGTATGTATGTCTGGGAAGTCTGTGAAGTGAAACCCTAGCGGTGGAGATTGCTTAGTTGGCATTAGAGACGGGAGATCTATGAGGCGTGAGTGATGTTGTCCAGGAAAAGTCAGAGATACATGGCGACTTGAGTTTATGTCAGCCCTGTTGTTAGCCACAACGCAAACATGTTCACGTAGCTATGTTTTTGTTACCATTCGGGACATGCAATCGGCGGGGCTCTCTACCGCTCAGACTGTTAGACGGATGGAAGTGCGTGACGTTTGAGAAATGGGCGAGATGTTTTTCTTTCAAACATTGTCGTGCAATCAATGTCAACCGATGAGAGGTGTGTTCCAAAATGAAGATGAGCCTGGCTCGTCCAGGGAAGACTGAGCTCTCTAAAACTAACCCAGAGTATCCCTTGAAGATACGTTCAGCATTACACAAAGTATATAGGCCAGGTCATTGCCGTAGCAAGAGTATGCTCTACCCCAACCCTAACCCTAACACCGAGCGAGGCACGAAAAGGAGGCAGCAGCGGAATTTGTCAGTATGTGTGAATCGAGCTTACTCGACCCAGGATCGACACTACGTGAAGCAGGTGTCGGAGTCTGCCGCGCCTTGGATGTTCTCCACGCAGTCCGAATCTTGGGCAATCTCCTCTGTTCCTCCACATGTCTTGCTCCTTAACGACCCCTGAGCCATGCGCCGCCCATGTTCTATTAAGCATCAGGATATCAAGCAAGGACTACTGCACCATGAGAAGAAGGTTAAAGATCACGAAAGTCCCGCCAGATCATCGCTTTCTCTCTCATACCGTCCGATCATCATCGCACATACCCTCCAATCTGGTTGCAGGTCATCCTTCATATTTCTCATTCAATCCTTCACAACTCACGAATCTTTTCCCTGGTGCCGGACACCATATCATATTACCACTGAAAACCACCATCCTGCATTCATCTTGCATCTTATCCTGCAAACATGGCTGTCATCCGTCAGCATACACCGGTCAGTCCCGAACCACCTGCACACCTCCTTTCGCAGCCCATGATCACACGAGGAAAACAACACAGATTGGATGATCAGTTCAACGACCTATTCACCGAATGGTACTTCTTGGACCTGGACGCCAAACGCGTCTTGGCTGGTAATATTGTGGAAACAATCATTGTGGATCCCTCCAACTGGTACAAGGAACATGTGCGTCTCTTGATTGCCCGCAATGTGGCCGAGGACGATGACCCAGAAGATGATACTCGAGCCGTCCGTAGAACCCCGAACAAGAGTGATCCAGCTTGGTGAGTAATCTATCGAAGGAGCGGTGACCATAACCTTACTCTCATGCTGGAGGGGCTTCTGTCAGACCGAATTGCTGACAATCTTGCTCGTCTTCCTTAGGTACCCAGGCAGCGAAGCCAGGGCTGCTCGGATTGCCAAGCAGCGTCAGCTTGCACGCGCTTCCTCACCCTCTACTCCTTCCAGGGGCACACGACAGGTCGAAGTGGTGCCTTCGGTTGAAGTCATCAATCACGATGACGATGCTGGCGATGAACAAGGTATACTTCGAAACATCCAAGCCGCACGGTTGTTGGGGACGTCAACTGACACCGAACAGACTCGCCCGTTCCTTCCGTGCAACGGAGACTCTTCACACTGCCAACACCTGCCGCGACTCCGGCTCCTGCTCAAACCAGAGATGAGCACAACTCAGGCGTGGGTGAAGAGGTCGATTCTTCTCTGGTAGGCGAGCAAACCAATCAACTAAAGGCACGCATTGATGAGCTGCACACGCATATGGAGGTCACGAGGCAGAGCTTGCAAGCGGCGTTGTMGATATCGGATATAGACACGTCCGAAGCCCAGGCAATCCAGGCCAAGTTGCAGATGGTGACCAAGAGGCTATCGGCGCTGGGCGATCACTATCTTGATGCTCTTTACGGAGACGCCAGACTCGTCAGTGAGGCTGAGGGAGGCATGGAATCTGTTGTGGATGCTGATGAGTGAGATATCGGCCTGCCACGAGTGGACTCGATCAGGCGGCGTTCATAGCTTGATTGAAATACTCCAGTGACAGATCTCAGAGTCCTTTCTTGCCAGTCAAGCTTCACAAGAGTGACGGGGTCGTGCAAGCCGTATGCGTGTCCGTCGTACGGTGTCCAGCGTTGAATGTCTTGCTTCTCATATATCTGCGTTGCTTCTCCGTGCMTTGTCGATATTCTTGTAGGAACGATCTGCTTATATTTGAGGATGTTGCTATGAAGAAGATGCAGTCAAGCCAAGAGGCACAAGACKGAGTCATCTCCGGCAAGATGAATAAGCAATCATGAAATGCCGTTAACAGGATGGTACAACCATAAGCAAGGACGACCTTGATGAGCTCTCGGTTGCTGGTTCCGAAGCTGAGACATGGCTCTTGGATCCATATCAACATCACCCGGCATGTGATGAAGCAAGTGAGGACAGACATGTCGTCCGTCACAACAACACCCGAGTGTTGGCCGAGGCCGTCATGATGCAAGATACCCCTCCAGGATGTACCCGCTCAGGCGAATGGGTATTGGCGGGACATTGATAGCGGCGGAGGTAGCAGTAGACATTCCTCTTCTTCTTATTGTGTCCAGTCTCATCCATTTGCACGCCACAATACAGGCCTCACAGAAGACTTGCAGCAGCGACAGTCCATGACATAACCGCGGAAGAGCTTGACCATCACTTCCACCGCCAGCGAACGAGCACCACAGACATGCCCACTCAACCCGACAACCCTGCGCCCGCACCCGACTTCGACTCGATGCTCTCCCGCAAGTTCGGCWAGGAGATTGCCAACTACTTCTCGGGCTCGCCGCTCAACCGCGTGGGATTCCTCCGCGGGGACCACAGCTTCCTATCCAAAGCTCTGCACCATCCATCCACCAGCTTCCTGCTGCTGAATGACCTACAGCCTCTGATTCAACCCGACACCGCCCCCGGTCAAGGCAAGCTCGCATGGGTTAAATACAGCGATGTCAAGCCCGTCATTGGCGATGATCCATTTGCCACGACGGAGAAGGAGATGATCGAGGCATACAACAGCGACAAATACTCTCCGCAGATGATCTTCTTGGGCATTGACGAAAAGCAAAAGGATGGCTTAAGCTATCAAGGAAAGAACATGTACACAGGAGCTCCTTACTTTGCCGTGGATGTCACACCCAGAGACAGCGTCAAGGAGGCCTGCGAAAAGCTCATTGCAGATCAAGCGGCAAAGGGACTACACTTCAGCCCAGGACGGGTCATGGATGTCGTTGCTACGGACGGTGAGCAGTAGACATGTCCCTGATGTTGTACATGTCAATACTGATGTGACTTGACAGCTGCCATTTACGCCGAAGCTCGCCAACTTCTCGACTGGAACCTTCGCAACCCATTCTGCGGCGCCTGTGGCCACCGTACAATGTMCGTCAATGCGGGATTCAAACGCACCTGCCCTCCCAAAGACTCGTCAAAAGCACAAGCTGCATCAGACCGCCCACCTTGCGTGACTCGCAAGGGAATCTCAAACCTCTGCTTCCCACGCACAGATCCGACCGTCATCATGGCAGTAGTAAATGCTGCGGGAGACAAGATTCTTCTTGGAAGGCAGAAGAGATGGCCAAAATACTGGTACAGCACCTTGGCTGGCTTCGCGGAGCCTGCAGAATCGATCGAGGAAGCTGTTCGTCGAGAGGTCTACGAAGAATCCGGCATCTTGGTCGGCCGAGTCGTCATCCACTCAACTCAGCCATGGCCATATCCGGCGAATTTGATGATCGGGGCCATTGGGCAGGCGATTCCGACTGGCGAGACGATAGATCTGGGCAACGACCCCGAGCTTGAAGATGCAAAATGGTTCGACTTTGAAGAGGTAAGAGAGGCATTGAGGGTGGGTACGAGTGGGCTGGGTGAAGATGCAGGAGAAGGATATAAGGAGGGCGGATTAAGGCTGCCGCCAAACACTGCAATTGCAAACCAGCTGATGACTGCGGTTGCCAATGGATTCGCCAGTGGCGAGAGCAAGATGTGAGGAGGTTGTGGGGGGTTGAGAGATTGCAAAAGGCTTGGTTAGAGAACTACCGACACCTCGGAGTGATACGCCATGCACTGCCACCGGAGCCACATCACTACATTGTTTCCGTGTGTCTGTTGACTACGAGGGCAGCACCCTTCGCATAGAATCGATTTACGAGACTGGAGTGTCGCTTTATCKCTGCCCAGGACTGTCTCAGCAGCCTAAGGCAGCGAGCCATCATACTCAGGGAAGTTTGCTGCTCACCTCTCAACTTTGTTGGCCATAAAAATCTCACTCTGACACAGTAAAGCTGTTGGTGTGAGGTCCTTGGGGAAATTTACTCTGATGTGTCGAGAGGCTGCTGTATATGTGATATTCGTTATTCAGCAAATCAGTCGCACCTTTGACTCCCTGTTCCAGCTACCTCACCCATCGAAGCGGAATCGTGGAAAAGGGATAAAATGCCCTTTGCTCTCGACTAGATGTCGCAGGCTTGCAGACCCACATTCCTTGAGGCTCCAGACTCCATTTCGATTACTCGAGACGCCATGGACTTTGCTTCATAAGAAGAATCAAGCTTACCGCCGATATGATGCGCCAGTTCCGGGATCAGGGCTGAAGAGCATGCCGATAGAACCGGAGCTATATTCCGGGGGGTTGGTGTGCTGATCATTGGCATTATGAGGTCGATTTGTCTCTCTAGTTGACAGTGTATATCAGGGCGTGAGACATCACGGAGCATGATAGCTGAATCATCTCGCCGTCGGCGTCAGTCGCTTCTCAACGTCGCTTTCTTGCAAAGCTTGGCGGACGAGACGTTGACGGATTTGGGCAAAGGCCCTAGACTTGTACATATCTGTCTCCGGAGTATTAGAGACAAGCCATGCTAAGTCGTGGGACTCTCGACGTTGTATTCAAGTTCGATGTATCGAGAGACAGCATGTCCGAAGAAGGTGCCTACAGGCTGGCGAGGTCGTACGCCGATGTAGTTGTACATGTTCTCAATATTGACAAGTTCTCTCTCTGATGCTGCGAGTCGAAGCTTTATATCAAAATGCACGTCCGGCTGTCGAGCATTTATTAGTGGTACACGGTGAGGCTCATCTTACACAATCACATAAATCAAGAAGCGTGATCCCAGTAGGCGGAGATGAGGTAGGAAGACGCCCGTAAAGCGCAAAGTGGCGCGTGGTTTGAATATTGGAAAGGTCATGGTCATGTTCAAGCGAAGCAAGCTTGGTCTTTGCTGCTTTATCATCTGTTGGTATGGCACCATTGCACAGCGGTGAAACAGTTCAGCTTGTTGTCGATACTCCTCTCATATTGATTCTGTCCATTTACAACAACAGTACACCGCCACACAAGACATTGGCGACGATCACGCGGCACGCGGTAGAATCATGGTAGGTGAACCCTGCGTCCGGGCGGACTTCGCGCATGTTGTCGTCAGATCCTGGCCAATGCTTGTCTACCTGCCCACCCAATGGCAATCGCTCTGAGTGCCGACACGGAGATCTTTTGTGGTGTAAGCGGTCTGCTCTCGGCTGTCAATGCAGCGCAATGCTTGGT